AAAAAGTAATGAAGATATGAAAAATATATTGAGAGATGGTATGAGTACTACCAATTCTAGTTGACTCTTAATCTTATTTTCCTGTAAAGTAATGAACTCTTGTTCTAGTGGACATGAAAGATTAGACATAATGAGCTTAAGGCTCCCTAAAGATTGTATTAAAAAATAAAAATTTGTAGTTTTTTTATATAATTTGAACTGAACTTCTTCTCCTTCATCAATAGCTTTTGTTTGCTTGAATCTCTCTAGTATTGGTTAGCATGACCTCAACTAGGACATTAGATGGCTCTAAAATTATTTATTTTTTCTTTATAATATAGATAAGCATTAAATTAAGTTAAGTGTTGTAGAGATGAGGATGCTTAGGCATATGAGTGACTTCACTCTTAGAGAGAATGTGAAATGAGTATATTACATGAAAAGGTTGGAGTAGCTTCAGTGGCAGATAAAATTAGAGAGAGTCGCCTTAGATGATATGGTCACATAAAATGTCAGCCTTTTGATGACCTTGTTAGGAGAGTGGATGTATTAGATTTAACGTATGTTAAGAAAGATAGAGGTAAACCTAGAAAGACTTGATTAGAAAATATTAGAAAGAACTCTTTTTTATTAGATTTAAATGAAAATTTGACTTTTAACAGAACACAACGTAAAAAAAAAGATTCATGTAGCCAACCCCACGTAGTAGAATAAAAGTTTGATGTTGTTGTTGTTTCTTTATAATACGTTTTTTTTATCATAATGTTTCTTTTTTAAATATTAGAACTTTTCATTCTGCAATATTTCTAAAATAATGACTCTTTTTTCGGCATAACTGTAGTGTTTCAATAGTCATACCTTTTGTTCTTCCTATAAGAATTGAGTAACTAATAAGTATTTTATTTGTAAAAAGGATAGTGGCAACTTAAGGTGCTTAGCCCTGGAGAAGGTTTTTGTTTCTCTATGCTAGCCATGTACTGTTTAACATTGATTAGCTAGGTTTTGAACAAATGTTTTCTTATTATAACAAGGTTAGAACAATGCTTATTTAGGACTTATGCATGCCCTTATTCAATCCTAAATTGTGCCTTCATAGGAGGCATTTTACTTGTTTTATCACATTTGAGCACTATAAGAATTATGCATTTTCTTTTTTACCAACTAGACTATTGTAAAGTGGCATTTTCTTAGTTGTAAGAGGTTACAAGAGATTAGCAAAGTAGTCTCTTAGTCAATCACAATAGCCTTGGTTGCAAACAGGGTTATCGTTGCGATCACTAGCGGCTGGTAATGAAGTTTTGTAATTATGAATCAATTATAGTAATGATGACACAATGACTTCAAAAAGAGGCAACAATTTATATGTTATCTATCGAGTAGTAATCAGTAATGATCACTAACTTGAAGCCCACCTAGAATTTTTTACCATCACCAGTTGCAGATTATCTAAAAACAAGCGCCTTTAAGCTGTTTACTTTATTAAAACCAATATGCACAAATTATCATTTACCAAAATAATTGTGTCCATATAGAAAATCTATATACATTCAATATGAAAAATGCAACAATAGATAGTTCATATACAATCAATATAAAAAACAAAACAATCCTAGAGGTGTAACTGGGTCGAGCTGGTTCGCACTCGACTTGCTAATTAGCCCACAAGTCAAGCATATAGAGCAATGAGCTGGAGATCAAGCTCAAACCTATATGAAAAATGAGTTCAAGTTTAAGCTTGATAAGGCTCAACATATTAATTCTCAAGCTGACTTATTTATTCATCCATTTGTCATATCAATGCCTTCTCCAGGTGCTCCCTAAGAATCGCACCTTAACCCATCTTAACTATCTATCAATATAGGATAGTCACATCATATTTGCAGTTATAATCACCATCTAACTATAACAACAATGGCTCATCCTCATCTTAAATGTAAAATAACTTTTATACCACCATAGCTTTATAGTTTGTAAAGTAAAAGCACCTAATTACTATAACTAAGGGCAATTAATGGGAGATGTTCTTCAATCCTTGTATCCAGCTATAATGTAGCCCTCGTATCCTTTTACCTCCTTACTTTTACAAATATAGAAAAACTAGACCTTCTCTTTATTCTCTCCCATGATGACTTCTTTTTCTTCTCCAACTATTAGTCACACGATTTCCTTCTTCGATGACCTCCTGTGCTGACTTACTCTTCTTCTCCTATCATTGTTCATGTATATGCCTTCTCTAGTAAGCTCTTAAGCTGACTTCTTCTCAAGCCACTGTTCACATCGATGCCTTCTCTGATAAACTTCCACATCAACTTCTTCTTCTTTGATTCGAGTTCATAAGCCAACTCACATGCTCATCATTATTGCGATGAGCTAAGCTTATGCTCACCCTTTGAGCTCAAATCAGGCTCAAGATTAAGCCTTCTCTGCCAAATTTGCTCACACCTTTAAAAGTATTGACTTTTAAAAATACAATATCACTTACCTAAAATTCAACAACCTGATGCTTTGAATTATAATAATTCCTCTAGCAGTCTTGGGCGCTCTTAATTTATACATAATCAATCAAATCATCTCAATGGCATTATTTTTTGTCTTAGGACCCATCAGTCATCTCTGACCCACCTTTGTCTAAGATAAAGATGCACTGCATATCTTACCATATAATACTTCATATGATGGCATACCAATGTTGGATTGAAAATTATTATTATATGTGAATTCAATAAGATGAATGCAGTCTTTCCAACTGAAATATCTCAAGACCTAAATGTGAAAAATTATTTATTTTATCTCTAGATTAATCCAAAAGAGCTACTAAATCAGTTGATATAATAAAACCCAACAGAATAAACCATATACGTCAAACTATTTCACAATAATTATTATTCATGAAAATTTATTGTCAAAATATGGAAGAATTATTATTTCGTTATTTGTCAAAATTTATTTGCACTAGCCAGAAATTCAATCATTAGTCTATCTTTTAAGACTCCTACCTACAAAAAAATAAAATAAAAAATACATAGTCCTAAACTTGAAATCAGATTAGTCTCACTCTACTAGGTCCTGCCCACTTTCTAAAAAATATATAAAAAATCACAAAGTGAACTAACATCTCAGTAGATTATCAAAACCTGCAACTATAATTAATTCAAGGTAATAAAGATAATATATATGCAATCATTCAATCCAAAGAATAATAAACATGTAACTGTAAGAACAATAAATAATTAATGTTAATAATATCAACTCATGTGAGTTGTGAGAACCAATACAAGCAATGTATCTTAGAAATTAATGACCAGTAGTACATGATCAATACATTATGACATTCTTATAACCATGTCAAATATAATGTAATAGGTGAGCTCATAGATTTATGCATGCTTATAATTTATACATTAGTCATATCTATATATTATCTTATTTATATCAATATAAATGTCATGTCAAGCAAGGGTTTTACATCTATTCTATGCATGTCTTACAATATCAACATATATATATATATATATATATATATATATCATGTTCTATATCATGTCCTATATCAAGTGCAATGTATCACATATCTTTGTATTAATCTTATCAATCTTATCATATATTTGTACCAGTCATATCTTGCATCATGTTCATATCACATCATATCATTATGTAATTATCATGTCATGCTATATTCTATTAATATACTAACACATATGCAAATCATGTTATAAGTAAGGCAATATATCTAGCTACTTGTGGTGTTTTTCTTACATTAAGTCTTATAGGCCCTTCAGATAAAAAAAGGAATTAGTTTTAATGACATTAGTCATGTTAACAAGAATCAATTTCATATCACATGTCATAAGTTAGGTGACTTTCATATAAGAAGTTGTTACTTTCTGTCTATCAGCGTATCATATCATATTAGTCAATCTCCTTATGTCTATTTTTAAATATTTTTTTAGGATCACACAACAAATCTTATTTCAAGGAAAGTATGTCGATCCATCTTCTTATATAGGGTAATATGTCTCAAGCCAATCTACATAAGTCAATCATCAACCTAAATCAGTCAATCATTTTTAGTTAGTCTTTCTTATTATTACACATATTTTATATCATGGTAATAAACAACATGCACACATCTTATGTAATTATGATAGCATTTAAATTTATCCAGTGTACTCATTAGTATGTATATATTATGTCAAAATATATGTTAGACTAAATGAACAATGATTTTATGTAGTCATGCATTTTATGTCTAGTTTTAATATACTTTCTAATGATTTTATACTTATTATTACTCTATTCATTTTAAATAAAATGACACAAAGCTAACTAGTGAAATTTCAATATGAGCATGCTAAAATGTTCATGATGATGATGATATCTAATACATATCAAAAGTTATACAGTGAAAGCCCACTAGAGTGGGAGATACTATATTTTTTTCAAATTTAGAAGGGAGAAAATGTGCAAAAATTAAAATCATACAAAATAAAAGTAGGATAAAGATTACCTACCATGATCAAATCAATTTTTCTTAACTAGAGTGATGGAAGTTATTGACCCAAACCCCGATTTCTCTCTCCAGTTACATAACACTAGATACTACTATCAACACATGTGATATCTGATACCTCTACTAGTGACCTCCACGAGTTTTTTCCCTATCCAACCCTCATGACTATGACATGACCTCTATGACCTTTGTCTTTCTCTGCTTCTCTGCAAACTCATCATTGAGCTGTGTGACATCCATCTCTCCATAATGTGCATGACCTGTACAACCTCCATGATTAACAGAAGCACACAACATAGTCTTCATAACCTCCTTGAAAACACATGCGTTGCTATCATGCACTAGGCTTATAATTTTATTTTAATTTAAAATCATTTTAGATTCAACCAAACATAAATTTAATCTTTAAAATTTATTTTAGACCAAATTTAAAATCCTTATGAATTTTAAATATCTACAATGAGATTAAAAAAAAAAACATTCACCAAGGAGTTTGCTTTGAACTCCAAGAAGACAAAGTGAGGCGAACTCCATGAGGTTTTACCTAGGCACAGCGTGACGTAGCGCCCTGCTTTGGCCCGCTCCTCGATCCAGCGCCTCACTTCACATGGCGCTTTCTCCGTCTCCATCTCCATCTCCTGCCACAGCCGTGAAAAGGCAGAAAAGCTCCCTGAAAACCCCATTTCTTCCTTCACTTCGCCGGCTTGCCCGCTTTTCCATGTCGGCACCGCAGCCGCGCCTTGCTGTCGCCTCGAGAGCCTCGTGCCTTTCTGTCGACGCTGGCCATCGCGAGGACGTCCTCGCTGCCGCTCGTGCCTTCGTCCCTAAATGTCTCTCCGAGACTCATCTCGAGCTCACTGTTCCCGGTCTTAAGGCCAAAGCTCGAGGGAAGGTCCATCCTTTGCTTCCTTAAACTCTTATGTATCTTTCTCTTTGATTTTCTAATCTTACGTTGGGATTGTAGGTAAGGGATATCTACGAGGGGAAAGGTTACATGGTGCTGGTGACAACCGATCGACAGAGCGCATTTGATAGGGTTCTGGCTTCCATTCCATTTAAAGGGCAGGTTTACCTTTACCTTTCTTTCTTGCATAAGTGGCTTCTGTTATTTTTTTATTGAGTTGGGTTTATGGAGTTGCAGTTCTGAACGTTTCAATGTTGCAAATTGATAAGAACCAAAACATAGAATTACAGAACACAGCAGAAATTATCGCATTAAATATCAATTAGGCAACTTGAAGCTTGCCTAAAACTTCAGGTGATGGGGGAGGAAGGGATTAGGCAATAGAAGATGCCTACAACTCCAGATAATGGGAGAGAGAGTGAAATGAGCCAATGCTCAGTTGCTTCTACATGTTTGTTTGGATGCTCTAAAACTCCACATGAGTATTTATAGACTAGAGTGACATCTAGTAACCTATCAGAACGCATGATAAAACAAATACCCACAATGATGCTAAATCATCTCAATCTACAAATTACATTTATTAGTATCACATATTTGTCGTAATTGGGTTGTGTAATGGGTTATTGAACTTAAGCTAGTGTTAATTGCATGTGCTTAATTGTTCAGGTTTGTGCTAGGGTTCAAGGAGGGGGCATGGGTATTAGAAGCTGCTTTTGACATGTCCAGCAAAAGTTCATTCTTTTTTCCTTTTCATGTAAAAATCATTTTGAGTTTTTCTAATAATTGTTGAAAATTCACTCGTTTTTTATGATGTCATCCAACTAGAAAGTGGAAATATATGAAATAAACCAATTTTAAGATGGTAGAGCACCTGTAATTATAAGTCTTGATTTATTGCATGTCTTGTATTTGATATAATTGGTCTGCTCTTTGATTTTTATTCCTAAAACTTTTCTTCTTGTCATGTTATTTTAGCAAAGGAGCTCTCTCTTCATATCAAACATTGAATTTTGCCCTCTAGAAGTTGAAATATTGTGTTTCTGGCATGAATGTCAATTCCTAGAAGAGGCCTCTTTAACAGGCATCATGATTTAAAATTGTACAATTTGAGGCTGCATCTCAACTTAATCTTATATTTTTTTGGCCTTGAGGCATAAGCCTCATGGTTATAATGGGAGGTGTATGCACCTCAATCTTTTTAAGGCACGAGCCTCAATTTTTAAGGTTTAGATATTTATGAAAAAAAACCCTTTTTTATTAGCCCACCTTACCCCTCTTTATCTCTTGGTCCTTGTATCACAAAAAGAAGTGCATGTTTTGACCTTCCTACGTCTTGCCTCTAGGCTCACACATTCCAGCCATCCACCCCCCCTCCTCTTTGTTGTCTGCCATTTGTGGCCTTCTATTTCCTTCGTAGTCTTCAGCTGCTTCCTTCCTCTCTACCAAGCCTTCTTCTTCAACAAAGGTTAAGGGTCTCTCTTCTTTACAATATTTCTTCTTGCTAGTAACCTTAGAATTTTTTTTCTAAACCTAATTTTTTTTTTCTTCTTTTGTGATTATTTGAATGTTTCAACTTTTCTTTTTTAAATTGAAATATTGTTGTTTGGGTTTTTTTTAAGGGTAAGAGATAATTATAAAAGTGCAACGAGACATAGGAAGGACCCTACATGTTGACATAGTGTGCAACTTGACATTGGAGTGAATGAAAAGATATATGTTTATTTAAAGTGCAACCATTACTAGATGTTAAAGGGTGTTTTACAAGAATGAAAGAGCATGTTTTCGGCTCACGCTAAAATGTTGCACCGTGTGCTAAAGTGTTTGACGAAGAAAAGAAGACATTCAAGCATATATGAACAAGACAATGATATCAAAGCATTTGGTACAACAACAATTTGATGATAGAAATTATGTCGGATTTTACTATGGGAGTGAGCGCATAGCATTGATTCCACATCATCTTTGTCACCAATATCAAGTAGAGGTGCAAAAGGGCCCATGAATCAATATATAACAAATTTGGAGGATGACAAAGATCATGGCAGGAGGGTAGCTCAGAAGATGTCTCATGAGAATGCTAGAGAGGCGTGGGAGGTTCTTTTATGAGAAAGCTATTTTTTTTAATGTTGAAACCTCCCCTTCTTATTTCAATATGCTCCATTCCATAGGTGCTTATGGTAGAGACCTAAAACTGCCGTTGATGTATGCTTTAAAATTTTGGGCATTAAAGGAGGAGCTGAACAATCATAAAAAAATCATTGATGAAATTAGGACTTGGAATCAGACTAGAGTAATGATCGTGCCTGATAGCTAGTTTGATATCATGAATAGAAACTTGATTAATATTATGATTAACAATTTTTATGACACTGTTTTCTTAAAATTTGTTGAAGCATCTGATCAAGCCAAGGATACGGAGTATATTTTTGGATTGCTTGATAATGTGTAATAATAACAATAGGACCATTGGTTCAAATTCTAAAGTGGATGTAGATGAAAAGTCACTTATGGGCTTCATTTATAGTGCAATGGATGAAGCTAAGGAGTTGATAGCCTATAACTTACGAGGAGATGAGTCCAACTATAAGGATATTTAGATATTATTGATAGCAAGTGTGAGCTTCATCTACATCATCATTTATATTCTGTTGAATATTACCTTAATTCTAATATGCTGAGAACAATTCAAATAACCTTGAGAGTTGAGATCAAATTAGGATTATACTGATATATAGATGGGTAGAGTGTTGATCCAACTAAGAGGGAGAACATTGATATGCAGCTTGTTGATTAAGGAATATTTCTTTGAACTATAGCAAGGTAAAGATATAGTTGTAAAATATTTTCAATTAATTTTTAGGCGAACGTTGATATGCAACTTGTTGATTAAGGAATATTTCTTTGAACTATAGCAAGGTAAAGCTATAGTTGCAAAATATTTTTCAATTAATTTTTAATATTTATTTATTGAAATAAGGAAGGACTCTCCCAATGCTAACTACATTTTATCCTTTCAAATTTTGTTGAATGATAGATCTAATTTGGTGTTGGCACTTCAGAGCTATACCAATTAATTGTAAAGGTATTGAGACTTACATATTCATCATCAAGATGTGAGCTATACCAATTTTCTTGATCGTTATTAAGAACTAGAAAGATGACTACGATTGAAGCAGAGGAGAAAAAATGGGAGAATTTGGATATAATTGAAGATGAGGCAGGTGAGATTAACTGATCATATCTCTAATGAAGTCCCCTTGAATGATAAGATTGCTAAGGACTTATGATTTGTTATTTATTATATTCTTAATTGGTTGTTGAATAATAGAAGTGGGAGAGATAATCTTAATGTGCTAAATTTATTTGATATCTTATATTACTTTGATGTTTACATTATAGTTCTATTCTACTCAATTTGTTACTTGATATACTTTACAGCTTGAATAATTTGTTACTTGATATATCCACAGTTTGTTACTTCTTTCTATTTTAAAATATTAATGTGTTATCTTTTTAATATATTAATAAGTTAGGGTGCTAATATATTACTTTTTTTCAGCAATTTAATTTTATGCTATCTTTTTATTTTAGAGGCTTACACCTCAAAATTTCTTGAAGGCTTATGCTTTACATTACCGATGAAAAATGCCTCATACTCAACAATACAATTTTAAACCTTGACAGACATTTTCATCTTTCACCTTTCTACATGAAGAAGCTAGATCTTTCAGCTGGCCTTCCAGGCTTTTACATAGGAGTGTGCATTTGATCGGTCTGGATGATTTGATATATAATTAAAATTAACTAAACTAATTAGTTGTAGCCATAAAGTTTAGAAAATTGTATCAATCAAACCTTTTTAAATCAAAATATAACAGAATTGAACTTTAGTTTGGTCAGTTCAGCTCCGTATTGAGTGAACTGAAATGTAATTATTAACTTTAACAATGAGCCTAATTATTTTTAACTTAAATAGCATATAATATGAAGAATACCAAGTAATATTTGCTAAAGTTTATAATATTGACATGTGAAATAAATAATGGCCACGTGAATTTTTATGCTACTTATTTATTTATATGGTTTTTATTGATTTAGCATTTGAAGACATTAATATCATTTAATTTTTTATTTGACCAATTTTACAAAAGCAAAAACCGTACCTATAACAAAAAATCAAAGAAAGTCAAGATTATAACAAATAACTGAGCTGATGCTTTAACCATTGAGGTTGGTTTGGTTTGATTTTTTGGTTTTATCCAAATAATACACTCCCTTATTTTTGCTGCTTGCGCATGCCTAGCAAGAAAACTTAGCATTGATTACAAAAAATCGAGCAAACTAATCAACAAGAATAAAAACAAATCATCATCAGTGAATGAGGATTCATTTCATGAATTTGCATAGATTTTTTTATTTAACATCAACAACATTAATGCTTAACCTTTCTCATCCAGGCTTGTCATGCTTTGCCTATGGTGTATACTCGTAATTACCTATTGGGATGCACTTTTCAATGTTTTGATGAAATTAATTTCTGAATAAGTTTAGCAACCCTGTCTCTCTCCTGCAGAAAATGCTGAATCTGTAAATATGAGTTCAATTTCCTTCAGTTGATCTTTACTAGTAATCGGACAATGATTGTTATTTATTCATTACCCTCAGGTTCTAAACAAAACAAGCATATGGTGGTTTAGCAAGACTGAACACATTGTTCCTAATGCAGTCATTTGCTCTCCTGATAAGAACGTGACAATAGCAAAGAAATGCTCAGTTTTTCCAGTTGAATTTGTTGGTAAGTTCCTTTTTGGGCCAAATAGTCATATAAAATTTGATCTCGTAAAAATAATATGTTTTTAACCACCGGGAGTGTGGGTTATGGAAATCCTAATTGAATGCCAATTCATTTAGCCAAGGTAGCTAAAATAATTAATTTGACATAATTGCTATTTAGTTATTTGTATTTTTAAAATCTTCAATTTGCCTTTTTCATTTTCTTCTTCTTCCAATCTTTTAGCCAAGGTAGCTAAAATATTTAATTTGACTTAATTGCTATTTAGTTAGAGGCTTTGTGACTGGCAGCACCGACACATCTCTTTGGACTGTTTACAACAGTGGCAGAAGGCATTATTGTGGGAATATTCTCCCTGATGGTGTGTCTAAGTTGCAAATCTTCTCTTTATGTTATGCTTAGGCTACATAAGTAAATCTATTACCTCTTATGCATTTCAGGTATGAAGAAAAATCAGAAGTTGCCTGCGAATATTCTCACACCTACAACCAAAGAAACAAATCATGATGTTCCGGTGTCTCCTGATGAGGTTTGTTGTGTTGACTGAAGCTTAATAAGTTGCAAGTTAAATAAGGATAAATTAGACCTCCGTCCTTGAGTACAGGGGGATTTCAAATTGGTATGCATTTTTTAGATTGTTTCACTTTGCTCTTTTTTTTTTTGTCTTGCAAAGTGGTACCTTAAGTAAATCTATAGTCTTTACAAATATCCTTTCTAAGTTGAGAAAAAATATAATGTATCCTTTAACATCATTTCATGATGGTTAATGTGAAACATCTACAGTTACTTTTTGATCAAAGTTTTTATTTTGCTTTGTGTGCTTGTGTGTATAAGGGAGAGAGAGAGCGTGAACCCTTCTTTTTTTGTTGAGGGAGAGAAAGAAAATAGGGTGTATTTTTGGCATTCAAACTCAATTAATTATGCAGGTAAGGATATTAAAGTAAGAGAGGGATATTTGTGACACTTGAGAGTTTTTTAGCACTGTAATTAAGGGTCTTAATGAAGTAGACTTCTGTCAGCTAATTTTTTTGTCATTTCACCCTTAATAAAGTATATAGTTAATGATAGGACATTCTAAAAGAGCTTTGCATTTGCGGGCCATGTAATTGAAAAGATTTAATAAACATGAAATTATGTGAAGTACAAAGGTCATTTGTACCTCAGAGAGTGGACAAGTTAATCTTTAGTTGATATTCCTAAATTTTTTCATTAATTTTTCCTTCCATAGCAAGTTTCTTTGTACACGCATAAATTTTTTTTTTTAATCCGGCAAGTGTTCACCATTTTGACACATATCGGACACTTTCATGTGTCAACGTACAACATGTGTTAGACATTGTATGCTAGTTTAACTCGGAGTGTTGGTGCATCCTAGGTTGAAACAAACTGACTTTAAGAGAAACTACTTGATACTTCCTTTTGTAATCATGAATATGGGTTACTCAATTAAGGGAAACCAACATAATCTTGCAGCTAAATTAGGATATTGCTATAGGCATAAGGTTGTGTTGGTAGTGCTTATTTCATGCTTTGTTTTTCGTAATGATATCCCCAATATCTAGGCATAGGAATCCTTGTGTAATGATAAGCCTACGGAATGTGGGTTGGAGGGTTGTTTTTGTTAGAAGTACAGTAAGTTGCTTTGAGTTCAATTGATTATGTAATTTGATCTAAGATTTTGGCTGCATCACTTTGATCTTTTGAGATATACTCGATAACAATTTTGACACAAAAACCTGACACTGATCCTAGTGAGTTTTTTCTTTTTATTGTTATTGTTGGTTTGGCAAGATTGTTGCTGAGTTATCTTGAAATGTTTGCTAGTATATGGATTGTAGAAATACTTCCAAAGTACTGATATATAAAAAAGTATGAAATTATGTATATGTTTTTGCCTAAAACTCACGACCACCCCCACCACAATCATCATCCTCCTCCTCTATGACCTAATTCCATTTTTGCTGTTTCGGCTTAATGTATCCTTGGTGTCCTTTTATTTTAAATGCAGTCGTATTTTAACTCTATTTTCTGAAAATCCGGGCTTTGTATTTTACCTTTTAAGTCTCTGAAGATGCCATGCCCAGTTGCATCAATTGATGTGTTACAGTTATGTTGCTTTAGGGTACCATAAGGCATAGCCAAAGTGGTGGATATGTTTATAGAAATAAATTTCGCTATGCTATTGGTTTTATTTTAATTTGAGTTCCTTTTAATATTCCTTGAATCATAAGCTTTGTGAAACTTGTTTCTTTTGTTTTCTTGGTTGTTTGCCAGATTTCTAATATGATGATTTTTTGTACTTAGATAGTAAAAATGGGTTTGATGACAGAGGATGAATATCTCGAAGTGAGCAGCAAAGCTATGAGATTATTTGAATATGGACAGGTGGGAGTTTTTCTTTTTTCGACATTCTTTTGATTATTTTCTTATTATACTTTCTGTGAAGTTGTCAATCTTCATTTGGTTTCTTAGATAACCAACATGTACGTAAAGTAGTATTTTGTTGCCAAGTACCTACAACCTTTGGTTATAAAGTGCTTTGGGATATTTGCTTTTGAGTTTTATATGCAACCTGACTTAGGCTTTGTTTGGAATGGCTTTCTTACTGTTTTTGAAAGCAATTTTCTAGTACAAAAATTTATTTTTTACTAGAAAGCTGCTTTAAGAAGCAGTAAGAAAGCCGTCCCAAACGAAGCCTTAATAAGCCATGGTGATCAGCCTTCCAACAGTCAGGGTGCCTTATGTTGCATCATAGGATTTCTGTTCCCGTTATTGCTTGCACGTGTTAATTGTGCAATCTATTTGTTTCTGTTGGTTTTATCCATTAGCCTTTTGTACATCAATCTTAATTAGACAAATGTTTTGCAATAATTTGGCTCATTTATCTTCTTTTTTTGTTGATGTACGTTCACTTTCATACTTCAGATCATAAAATACCTGTCATGTTTATTTATGTAATATTTCTTAATATTTCAGCAAGTTGCTCTCGATCATGGTCTTCTATTAGTGGACACGAAGTATGAGTTCGGGAAGGACTCTGATGGGAATATTTTGTTAATTGATGAGGTTTGGCTTCCTACTGCACCTATGAGAATCCTTGTGTATTTCATTTGCATGTGTTTTTATGGTAATTGTTTTCATATGTATGTGATATGGGTTGTTACACTACAGATTTAAAAGAAATCCCGATATGTAGGGGATAGGAGCTTACAATTATATATAGATTTACATGTTCCAAATTTCATAATATCTAAGTTTGCGGTGATATTGCACAATTTATTTTAGACTTGTTTGAAATATGTTAAATTATATATGACTTATTTAATGGTATGCAATAAAGACTTGATATCCGTCCTATTAGAATAAAGTATTTTAGGCAGCAGTCTTGTAAGCCCTAGTTCTATATAAGGGCTCTTAATCTTGTATTGGAGAATAACAACAACAATAAGTATTTATCCCACTCTGTACGGTAGGCTATATGAATTAATTTTCTCTATCGTATTCTATTAAGAGTTATATTCTCATTTAAATCTAATAAAAAATATTTTTAATACTTTTGAAATAGATTTAAATTGCGCAATTGGGTATTGAGGCATTTTTTGTTCGTGAGGCGAGACGTAAGCCTCCAAATAAAAAAATTGCATAAAGTGAAAATAAAGGTTAAAAGTGATTTTTTATATAATACCTAAATAATATATTAAATGATGACATATTAATTTTCTATTGAACCATAAAATAATAAATTGGCATACATATGAAATAAAAAATTGTGCAACATATAAAATGACAAGTAAAACATTTTATGAAATAGAATTGAAATCTAAATATTTCAAGAACAAAACAATATTATTACAAGAATTATATAAAAGTATCATACAACATCAACTTCAATTTCAAATTTCTTCTTTCTCATTTCCCTACTCATCCATAGCTAATTCCTAAAGAAAGTTGAAATAGTTAGTAATAACTCATAAATGTCTTTATTTGAGTCTCTTCATAATAATTTAGTCTATCTTGCCTCATCTTGTGGAGTTCAATTCTCACAATCTGCTTATTCTTCATTTATTCCAATCATCTTCCTTTTACAAAAAAATATTTTATCAACATAAAAATAATACTCTAAAATTTTTAGAGGTGTGTGGGCTTCGAAAATTCGCACCCCGGCCTTCCCTCTTTCGAGAGAGTGTTAATTGATTATGTTATGAGGTAAATTTCCAGAAGTCAGATTGGGTTTGTAGATAAGACACTACCCAGAAATTTCACCCTCATTTTGCTAGGACTTTATGATCTGAGTTCTGGTTTCCTATAGGCACAAGCCCGTATAGTTAATTACCCCTCCCGATAATGAGAGAAAATTTTTAATTAAGGCTAGTTGTCAAACAAATACGTAGGAATACATGATATCTCGCATCATGAGTTTAGGTATTTGAAAATTTGATATTTAAAATTTGAAAATTTCATCATCTTGCACTTAAAGTGGATGCTGGGGGAATGGATGATGAGCTTGATCATGATCCCATGGTTCCGTCATCCCAGGCCATCGTGGTCCCTGATCTACTTAGTTAGAGGAGGTAGTCGACCCAACTTGACAGAAGTATCCTTGTGAGTTTATTATATTTTGTACACACTATATATAAGTTTATAATGCTTATACATAGTTTGTACAAACTTATACATAATATGTATAATGCTTGTACATAGCATGTATAAATTTATACATAGTGTGTATATTATTTATAGATAACGTGTATGTACAACCTATATACACACTATGTATATGTTTATTTATACACACTATATACAAGTTTATACATGCTATGTACAACCATTATACATACTATGCACATGTTTGTAAAATTTATATATAAGCGTTATAAAAACTATATACAAGTTTGTATATGCTATGTACAAGGATTATACACACTATGTACAAGTTTATACAAGTATTATAGATACTATGTACAAGCATTATACACACTATGTACAAGTTTATACAAGCATTTAAACCACAAGCTAGAGGTCCTTTAGACCACAAGAAAACAAAACAAGTCATGGCCACAAGAGGAAGGGAAGATATTTAGAAGAAACTAAATGCCGTAATGAGGTCCTTTAGTGTTTTGTTTTCTTTTGATCTCGAAGCTGTATTACCATGGGTTGTGTCGTCCAAGTGTACCTTGTAGACCTGGGGTGAGTATTTGTCTAAGGGGACGAATTTGAATCCACCTTAGCTAACAGAGGGCTTTGTTTCCTATTGATTATATCTTATTTATTCATATATCAAGGATTTAATACCATTGGGAAACTTACGGGCTCTGGCCATGATCATAATTTAGTTGTGCCATTTGGTGGCAAAACACCCGGTTTAGAGGGTTCCAATCATAACCGTTTACTTGCAATGTCATTTGACTGCAAAACTACCGGCTAGAGGACACGTGCCACGTCCTTACTGGCAAGAGGCTGTTTGAGAATGAATCATTGTGATATTCTCGATTAAACATTAGCTTTTTTTATGAACTGAAGTGATTTTTTTATTTGTCCATCTTGGCAAACTGTTGCAGAGAGTGGATGAGTTTTGCTTGAAGTTATTGATGATTGAATTTCTCTTTTAAATATTTTTTTTTGAAATTTTTGGAGTTTTGAATTTATAAGCATTTCGGTGGCATTTTTGAATATTTGACGACCTTCGAGCCGAGCTTGAGCTTGATTATGACAAACGAGCCCAAACTCGAATAGGTTAAAGCTCGGCTCAGCTCGGTTCGTTTGCAGTCCTACTTTAGACAAATACACATCCTAAGTCTACAAGGTACCCTTGGACGAAGCAATCCACGGATGCCGATAGGATCCTTCTATCAAGTTGGGTCGATTACCTCCTCTGACTAAGATGACCAGGGACCATGATGACCCGGGACGACGAAACCATGAGATCTTGATCGGATCTATCATCACTCCCCCCACCATCCGCTTTAAATGCAAGGAGGTAAATTTCTAATTTTAAATATTAAATTTTCAAATACCTAAGTGATGCAGGACTACATAAAAATGCAATGTTTTTGTTAAGAATCTTGCACAACTCTTGATTAGGATAATAGTGAAGAAAACTATTAGTAGTTTAAAACAACGAACTAAATATAAAGGGGGTCACACCCGCTTAGGCTAAATCACATAACCAAAGATTTTAAACTTTCAAAATAAATTAGAAAGCAACATGATGCCAGAGTAGTAGTTTCAATAGAAATCCCTAGTCTACCAATGAGATTAGTAAGCACATGAATACGCTCAAAACCCTAAGTTTACTAAGCTTAGCAGAAGCAGTAGAAATCGTCCTTCGTGACTACAATCAAACACAAGATATGGTTAGACTTAAGAAATATAAGGAAAGGGGAAAGTCGAACCCTTTGCCAAGGATCGGTGGTGATCCGCCACTCAACGTCTTCAAGTTGCTCTTCAATTGCTTCTACCAACGTGTCCAGAATATGCTCTATATAATCTTCAACGGTGTGATCGATCATCGGATTAACGTCAAAGAAAGTTGACTGAAGAATGCGTATGAAGCCTTCCTCGTCGTACTCAAGTTCGTACTCCGTTTCGGGGTCAGCCATCCATGCGAGAAGTCGTTGTTTTGGCTATAGGAGGTGCTGGTCGGTAGTCTGGGCTGAAGGAAACTAGTGGGCAGCAACTCAGTCTTCCAAAACAACAGTTATAGGTCTTCCAAGGGTGGAGGAGGTAATGCAACGGCTGAAGTTTTCTGGCTGCAGTCTTGGGAAGAAGGAGAATCAATGTTAAGCCTTGGGGAATTTCGGCCAGCTAAGGAATTAGGGAAAGGCTTTAATTCCCCAAAATAGATGGCTGATTTTGGTAAGATTTAAGCGGTGCAGGCCAGAGAGGAATTTCGGCCAGGTTTTAGAGAAAGGATTTAATTCCCCAAAATAGAAGGCTGATTTTGGTAAGATTTAAGCGGTGCAGGCCAGAGAGGAATTTCGGCCAGGTTGAAGATTTTGAATTTCAAATTAAGTATTTGGAATTCAAAACTGCATCCAAAATTTAACCAAATCAAAATTAGGCATGAGGTTTTGGGATGGAAAAGGGAGGGGAGTGGGTAGAGGGGTCGGCGGGTGGTGCTTGGCCGAGAGGATGAAAGGGAATTAACGAGGAGGGATGGAGGGGTTCAGGTGAGATGGGGAGCCAACGGCTAAGTGGAAGGGAAGGTAGGGAAGATAGAGAATAAAAACCACGAATCCGGCCGTCTCCAAGATTGGTGGGTAATGCGCCGATCTCTCCCTCCAAGGGATCTCTCCAATCTCTCAAGCTCTCCCCGAAACTCCAACAAGAAAAACACAATTCTCAAATATTCATTCATTACTTGAAAAATAAAACAACGGGATATAAATAGCCTAGTACATGAGACTCAAGAAATAAAAGACGAAAATTCCCTCGGGACTTACATACAAACCCCTTTACTTAGAAGGGTACTACGGGAAATGAAATAACATAAAATAAAATAAAATACAACGACACAAAAATAAAACAATACATGACATAAATCAAAAGTACAATGACTCGATCGTGGCCGTAGATCGGCGGCCACGCCTCTGATAAACCTTCCACGATCTGATGTCTCCATCATTCTCGCGGGGTGGGAGAAAACTCGACTCCGTCGAGTAAGTGTCTCTGGTGCTCTCGTAGATCTCTAATGTATCTGGGTCAATCTGCTGCAACTCCTCGCGATCTAACCACGTATCCTCTGACTCAGGCTTTCTTTTTCACCTGATCAACTATCTCGTTCGGCCACCTTCTCTTGTAGATATGATTTCATCACTTAGGATTGTCTCCACCTTTTCTGCTATAGGAGATTTAGGCATATTTGGTAGTGGGGGTAGGTTTGGAATCTCACAAGGTGGGGTTACACAAGGCGGCTGTATGAGTGGATTTGGAGGGTTAAAATCAGGACCTTCATATGCAACTAAATCTTCTATGTTAAAAGAGGGATTAATGTTGAAGTCTGCAGGCAGATCCACTACATAGGCATTATCATTAATTTTCTTAAGTATTTTGAAAGGTTCGGCACT